CAAGACTACCCTCAGTGCCAGACAAGACAACCCTTAGAGCCAGACTAGACAACCCTCAGAGCCAGACTAGACAACCCTCAGAGCCAGACTAGACAACCCTCAGAGCCAGACAAGACAACCCTCAGATCCAGACAAGACAACCCTCAGAGCCAGACAAGACAACCCTCATATCCAGACAAAACAACCCTCAGATCCAGACAAGACAACTCTCAGATTCATACTAGACAACCCTCAGAGCCAGACTAGACAACCCTTAGAGCAAGACTAGACAACCCTCAGAGCCAGACTAGACAACCCTCAGAGCCAGACTAGACAACCCTCAGAGCCAGACTAGACAACCCTCAGAGCCAGACAAGACAACCCTCAGATCCAGACAAGACAACCCTCAGATCCAGACAAGACAACCCTCAGATCCAGACAAGACAACCCTCAGATCCAGACAAGACAACCCTCAGATCCAGACAAGACAACCCTCAGATCCAGACTAGACAACCCTCAGAGCCAGACTAGACAACCCTCAGAGTTAGACTAGACAACCCTCAGAGCCAGACAAGACAACCCTCAGAGCCAGACAAGACAACTCTTAGAGCTAGACTAGACAACCCTCAGAGCCAGACTAGACAACCCTCAGAGCCAGGCAAGACAACCCTCAGAGCCAGACAAGACAATCCTCAGAGCCAGACAAGACAACCCTTAGAGCCAGACAAGACAACCCTCAGAGCCAGACAAGACAACCCTTAGAGCCAGACAAGACAACCCTTAGAGCCAGACAAGACAACCCTCTTTCCTTTCTCATTTAAAAATCCGGTACACAGTAGAGTGACTCCAAACGTACACAGTAGAGTGACTCCAAACGTACACAGTAGAGTGACTCCAAACGTACACAGTAGAGTAACTCCAAACGTACACAGTAGAGTGACTCCAAACATACACAGTACAGTGACCCCAAAAGTACAAAATAAAAGGAGAACCGTCAACAGTTTAGAAAATGACTGAAAATTAATACTCCACAGGGAACATTATTTAAATACTTAGTGAGATTTGAACCCGTCCCCAGTGAACGCAGAGCGTAGTGCTCTATGAAAACCCACCATGCAGACATGTTTTGAATCAAGCTAGAAACTTCGACATTTTATTAAATTTACAGGTAAACATGAAGCTGGTAACGCGGGGATGGCTAAACAAAGGGTGACACGAACAGTCGCCCACAGAGAAAAGCGACCTGTCAGATATGTCGACTGCCCCCTATTTTAGTTTGACTTATATCACATAACACCTGAAAGGTTGACAAATATTCAATAACACTTAGGTAATTGAACTTAGTTCAAAGTGAACAAAAAAAAAGTAAGAAAAACATTATAGAACTGTCCAAAAGCTGATCCAATCAAATGATTATAATGGAACATGTGACAAACTGAAGTTTGGTTCCTTATATCGAACAGGCGCCAAGAGAAATAAGCTCAGTTCCTTTCAGAAACCACACTGAAGACTGACATCCAGCTCGGTAAAACTGGAATGGAAAATGAGTGTAGAACACATGTATGAAGACGGAGACTACTCGCAAACTGGCTTCTAGACGGAAAGGCCTGATAAAAAAATGCCGGCTGGAAGGAGGATGACCAACCTCTATTAAAGCATGATTTGACATGCTTGAAGAAAGATCATACAAGTATCTAATCCTGCCTTGAATGTGAAATGTGCCAGGATATGGGTTCCAGGATTAAGATGAGCTTATTCACAACTGGATTTACTAGAAGACGGAACAAGAACCTGAATGTACATTTGTGTTATGTTGTGGCGTTGTTAAAGTGTTGCTCAGAGACGGCCTTACCATTTAACAGATTACGTTTCTGACACTCCCAGCTTAAACTTGGTGTAACTGTCTAAGCTAATAATGGATGAGTCGTGTAGTGCTGAGCAGTAGCACGAGAAGGGTGTTTCGGTCATATACGGTTCATGGTCGTAATGTAGTCGTAACGAACCTGGCGACTATCCAGGCATGTGCATGGCAACATGAACATCAGTTCAGAATTCACCACATGTGTTCATGCAGAGACAAGCATGATATCTTCTTCTTCTTCTTCGTTCACCGGCTGTGAATTCCAGCGGAAGGTCCCGGTTAATCGTCCGCTTAGACTTTTGGCTTTTACCTGGACCTGAGTTTTGCGTGTACAGCTGTTTTGCAGTTCCCTGCCAAGCAGGATATGATTTAGTAACGCATTCCCTGACTGCTATTTGTGGATTCTGTTTGACTTTTGTACCACAGACAGAGGTTGTGAATGTTTTCAGATGTTTAGTTCATCTGTTTGTGCCAGCATAGATCATATGGGTTTGTTTGTTTGTATCAGTAACCAATCAAAAGCCTTTGGTGAATCGTTCGTCTCATGCCTGTTGTCTTCCGAGATCTTATAGTCGGGTTGACCTGCGTTCCTCTTCTACCCTGGCTCATTGAATTGTTTAGCATTGTAAGGCTAGCGGGAACCAAGGAGGAAACACCCGCAAGGAAAAGGCCAGAAGAACAAGGCTAACAACAGGACAGAGAACGAGCGGTCTGACTCGAAGGAAAGAAGCATCAAGTCCAGAGACGGCGCAAATTCTAAAACTCTAGTCACGAAAGTGACGCAAATAAACCAGACCACAAATATAGCCGGAGACTGTTAGAAGCTTTGACAAGCTAGCAGCAGTCTGAAAGTGGTTCAACTTTTATTTTTTTTCTTAAAAGAAATCGGAAAGAAAAAGAAGGCTGGCGGGCTGACTAAAAAAAACAGTTCTTGTATTTTCTTGAAGAGACCGGACTAGCGCTGGGGACATACACTTGGCAAACAGTTCTCGTATCTTGCTGAAGAGACCGGACTAGCGCTGGGGACATACACTTGGCAAACAGTTCTCGTATCTTGCTGAAGAGACCGGACTAGCGCTGGGGACATACACTTGGAAAACAGTTCTGGTATTTTCTTGAAGAGACCGGACTAGCGCTCGGGACAGACACTTGGCAAACAGTTCTCGTATCTTGCTGAAGAGACCGGACTAGCGCTGGGGACATACACTTGGAAAATAGTTCTCGTATTTTCTTGAAGAGACCGGACTAGCGCTGGGGACATACACTTGGGAAACAATTCTCGTATTTTCTTGAAGAGACCGGACTAGCGCTGGGGACATACACTTGGGAAACAATTCTCGTATTTTTTTGAAGAGACCGGACTAGCGCTGGAGACATACACTTGGCAAACAGTTCTAGTATCTTGCTGAAGAGACCGGACTAGCGCTGGGGACATACACTTGGAAAATAGTTCTCGTATTTTCTTGAAGAAACCGGACTAGCGCTGGGGACATACACTTGGCAAACAGTTTCTGCTTGACTGAGACTTGAACACAGACAATCCCAGTCGCTGTTTAGTTGTCTAATCACTGGATCACCCCTGCTATGGCTGCTGCCATTTCTTTTACTATACACAACAACTACAACTCCTACTACTACTGCTTCTACTACTACTACTACTACTACTACTAACACCACCATTAATAATAATAATCAACAGCCCTGCGAGCTCTTGAGGTTCAATACTGCACATTATCCCCCGCCTCCATGTATCTCTATGGTTGGTCTTCTCTGTCCAGTTGGTGGCACCAAGTGTTTTTAAGTCTGTCTGGACATTATCTCTCCAACATCTTCTTGGTCTGCCTCCCTTGTGTACACAGTTTTTAACTCTCTGAAATTCTCACGGTATGCCACTGCCATTTCAGTCTATTAGCTCTCATGTCAGTGATCAGTGGTGATTTAAACAGATGACGAATTTCGTTGTTGCTCTCACTCTAAACTCCCCGCTGTTTGCATCTTTGATTGGCCCAAAGATTCATCGTAAGATTCTGTTTTCGAAAATTTGTAAAAAAGACTTCATCTATTTTAGTTGTGCTCCAAGTGTCAGACCCATAAAAAACGACTTGTCTATCAACGCTTTAAATGTTTTGATATTGATGTTTTGACTTTAGCAGACGTTGATGGGCATAGTATACTTTATTTTCAGATTGCATTCTAGATTGCATGCTGGAGCAGCTGACGTTGGTACCCAAATACACATGTGTTTCCGTTAGTTGGATTTTCATATTATCCATTTCTCTGTGGCCGGAGTTTTTTACAGTCTCTAGTTAATTTTCTCAAACAATTTCAATGCCACCTGTATAACCAAGTATTCTTGTGTTTCTCTTACAGTACATTCTTTATTCAATTTCATTAACTTTTTTTTTTCAAGGGTGAAATTGAAAAGAATTGGTGACAGAGCATTATCTTGCTGTAAACCAGATTTCATTTTTTTTTTAAATATTGAAAAATAGTAATACAACTACAACTAATACTATTACAAGAACAATTGTTACTAGTAGTATTAGTAGTAGTAGTAGTAGTAGTAGTAGTAGTAGTAGTAGTAGTAGTAGTAGTAGTAGTAGTAGTAGTAGTGGTAGTAGTAGTAGTAGTAGTAGTAGTAGTAGTAGTAGTAGTAGTAGTAGTAGGAGTAGTAGTAGTGGTAGTATTAGGAGTAGTAGTAGTAGTGGTAGTAGTAGTAGTGGTAGTAGTAATAGTAGTATTAGTAGTATTAGTAGTAGTGGTAGTAGTAGTAGTGGTGGTGGTGGTAGTAGTAGTAGTAGTAGTAGTAGTAGTAGTAGTAGTAGTAGTAGTAGTAGTAGAAGTAGTAGAAGTAGTAGTAGTAGTAGTAGTAGTAGTAGTAGTAGTAGTAGTAGTAGTAGTAGTAGTAGTAGTAGTAGTAGTGGTGGTAGTGGTGGTGGTGGTAGTAGTAGTTGTAGTAGTAGTAGTAGTAGTAGTGGTGGTGGTAGTAGTAGTTGTAGTAGTAGTAGTAGTAGTGGTGGTAGTAGTAGTTGTAGTAGTAGTAGTAGTAGTGGTGGTAGTAGTAGTAGTAGTAGAATAGGTGGTGGTGATGGTGGTAGTAGCAGCAGCAGCAGTTGTAACAATAAGAATATCAAGATAGGCATAAACAAGCTTCTCTTACCTGACTTGCCAGCACCAAGAGCTCCCACCATGGCAAAGTTGAACTCTGGAACCACGCCGTTTCGGTGAATATTCCTTCTGCCGCTCATGTCCCGTCTTCCTCGTGGGTCGCTAGCTGGCTTCAACTTTTCTGTGGGTCGCTAGCTGGCTTCAACTCTTCTGTGGGTCGCTAGCTGGCTTTAACTTCTCTTTGAGTGGCTGGGTTCCTAAACTCCCCAATCGTCTGCTATAATCAAAGCCCAGGTGGCTGAAGTATTTATAGGTTATGTAAACCTGCAACTTTGGGAGAATTTCCAGGGAAACAAACGTCGACTGTCTGCTTCCAATATCCTTTCATTGTTGGAAATTGTATCCCGAAATCTTTGAGGATTTCCCCAGACTGCAGGTTTCCAATGTAAACAATCTAAAAACAATTTAAGGGAACTCATAAACACAGAGCCGATGTTGAACCTTGAAGTCGACACCGAAAGTCAACAGTTGGGTTTGTTTACTGTCGGTTCACTGATGGCTCCTGGGTTTGGATTGCTGCACCAGAGATGGAGGGACACTTCTGAGAATGGACAGTCCAGAGATGGAGGGACACTTCTGAGAATGGACAGTCCAGAGATGGAGGGACACTTCTGAGAATGGACAGTCCAGAGATGGAGGGACACTTCTGAGAATGGACAGTCCAGAGATGGAGGGACACTTCTGAGAATGGACAGTCCAGAGATGGAGGGACACTTCTGAGAATGGACAGTCCAGAGATGGAGGGACACTTCTGAGAATGGACAGTCCAGAGATGGAGGGACACTTCTGAGAATGGACATGTAGCTCAGGTAAATGAAGTCATTTCCTTTTAGTCACGACATTCTGGAATTATCGGGTAGAATCCAGGAATCTGGATGAAGCCGGAAGTCACGTGTTGAACAAAGTTCAGTCGCACTAAGGTAAAAGCACGGTTCACTGGTCCTACAAGTCACACTGAGGTAAGAGCACGGTTCACTGCTCGTACAAGTCACACTGAGGTAAGAGAACGGTTCACTGGTCATACAAGTCACACTGAGGTAAGAGAACGGTTCGCTGGTCATACAAGTCACACTGAGGTAAGAGCATGGTTCACTGGTCATACATGTCACACTGAGGTAAGAGAACGGTTCACTGGCCATACAAGTCACACTGAGGTAAGAGCACGGTTCACTGGTCATACAAGTCACACTGAGGTAAGAGAACAGTTCACTGGTCATACATGTCACACTGAGGTAAGAGAACGGTTCACTGGCCATACAGGTCACACTGAGGTAAGAGAACGGTTCACTGGTCATACAAGTCACACTGAGGTAAGAGAACGGTTCACTGGCCATACAGGTCACACTGAGGTAAGAGAACGGTTCACTGGTCATACATGTCACACTGAGGTAAGAGAACGGTTCACTGGCCATACATGTCACACTGAGGTAAGAGAACGGTTCACTGGCCATACATGTCACACTGAGGTAAGAGAACGGTTCACTGGTCATACAAGTCACACAGAGGTAAGAGAACGGTTCACTGGTCATACATGTCACACTGAGGTAAGAGAACGGTTCACTGGCCATACAGGTCACACTGAGGTAAGAGAACGGTTCACTGGTCATACAAGTCACAGGGAGGTAAGAGAACAGTTCACTGGTCATACAAGTCACACTGAGGTAAGAGCACGGTTCACTGGTCATACAAGTCACACTGAGGTAAGAGAACAGTTCACTGGTCATACAAGTCACACTGAGGTAAGAGAACGGTTCACTGGTCATACAAGTCACACTGAGGTAAGAGAACGGTTCACTGGTCATACATGTCACACTGAGGTAAGAGAACGGTTCATTGGTCATACAAGTCACACTGAGGTAAGAGAACGGTTCACTGGTCATACAAGTCACACTGAGGTAAGAGACGGTTCACTGGTCATACAAGTCACACTGAGGTAAGAGCATGGTTCACTTGTCATACAAGTCACACTGAGGTAAGAGCATGGTTCACTTGTCATACAAGTCACACTGAGGTAAGAGCACGGTTCACTGGTCATACAAGTCACACTGAGGTAAGAGAATGGTTCACTTGTTCACACAAAAGTGACCAGAGCAGTGACAGGGTCAGACTCTCATCCAAAGCTGTGGAAGGTTCCGAATGGACAAACAGGGCCTTAGTTGACACCAAGCATCAGCACGTTGACATAACGCCGACGGGTGCCGAGATACTGTCGGGGATATGTAGGAGTGCGAGGGAGTAAAAGAGCGGATTGTGTGTGTGTGTGTGTGTGTGTGTGTGTGTCTGTATGTGCTACAAAAGCGATAGCTACGTGAACACTAGGACTGGACAAAAGAGACATTCTGAAGACAGTTTATGAACGAATGCCGACAGAAAAAAAGGAAGTTAAATGAAATAAAATGAGTACAAATGTGCGAACATGGAATTAGGAGTGGATTAGACAAGAAGCAAAGTGTCTGAGAGATAAAGAACAATGCATGTACGAACTGTTCGGGAACAGTTAACATCTACAACTTAAGAAATGTGCTGCGGGAGACGGAGCATATATGGGTATACCCGGTGTGCCAAGATTTCGCTTCTCAAACCAGCACTCAGCAATCATTAGTCGTAGCAATACTACATCAAGCACAGAGAGTGATTTAGTCCCGCTCACCACGCTCCACCTGGCCAACAACACCCTTCTCAGAGCAAACAGTGAAAGGTACAGTACGTTTTCAGGCAATACACACACACGCACACGCGCACGGCGCACACAACACACGCACACGCACACAAACACATGCGCACACACACACGCACACACATACACACGCAGATACATAACCGCCGCACGTTGATATAAAAAGCAAAACCGCCCGTGATATACATGGCTAATTAGACAGCTTGACGGACAAACAGATAAACAAACATAACGGTCGGGGTAAAACTATTATAACATTTATAGTGAACTGTTGTTTTGTTTTTTAAAGATTAAAACTATAGAGTATTAAAGTTGTATTTTGCTGCTCCTTGCGGTGACTCATTCAGAAATTTTTGCCCCCCCCCCCCTTTTCACAACCCCCACCCACTTCATCCGCTCCTCTCACACAAAAAAACATTGATCGCTCGACAGACAGACCGATAGACAGCATACATACAGATCGATAGACAGACAGACATATTGATGGACTGACAAATCTGCATTCAGTAATATGTTCTTAGCAGACTTGACTACTGCCACGCAGATTTGACTAGTGCCACGCAGATTTGATTAGTCCCACGCAGATTTGACAAGTGCCACGCTGATTTGACTAGTTTCACGCAGATTTGATTAGTGCCACGCAGATTTGACTAGTGCCACGCAAATTTGACTATTGCCATGCAGATTTGACTAGAGCCACGCAGATTTGACTAGTGCCGCAAAGATTTGACTAGTGCCACAAAGATTTGACTAGTGCCACGCTGATTTGACTAGTCCCACGCAGATTTGACTAGTGCCACGCAGATTTGACTAGTGCCACAAAGATTTGACTAGTGCCACGCAGATTTGATTAGTGCCAAGCAGACTTGACTAGTGTCACGCAGACTTAACTAGTGTCACGCCGATTTGACTAGTGCCGCGCAGATTTGATTAGTGCCAAGCAGACTTGATTAGTGTCACGCAGACTTGACTAGTGTCACGCAGATTTGACTAGTGTCACGCAGATTTGACTAGTGTCACAAAGATTTGACAAGTGCCAAGCAGATTTGACTAGAGCCACGCAGATTTGACTAGTGCCACAAAAATTTGACTAGTGACACGCAGATTTGACTATTGCCACGCAGATTTGACCAGTGCCACGCAGATTTGACTAGTGCCACTAAGATTTGACTAGTGTTACGCAGATTTGACTATTGCCACGCAGATTTGACCAGTGCCACAAAGATTTGACTAGTGCTACTCAGATTTGACTAGTGCCACGCAGATTTGACTAGTGTCACAGTGATTTGACTAGTGTTACGCAGATTTGACTAGTGCCACGCAGATTTGACTAGTGTCACGCAGATTTGACTAGTGCCACGCAGATTTGACTAGTGCCGCAAAGATTTGACTAGTGCCACAAAAATTTGATTAGTGCCACAAAGATTTGACTAGTGCCACAAAGATTTGACTATTGCCACGCAGATTTGACTAGTGCCGCAAAGATTTGACTAGTGCCACGCAGATTTGACCAGTGCCACAAAGATTTGACTATTGCCAAGCAGATTTGACTAGTTCCATGCAGATTTGACTAGTTCCAAGCAGACTGGGTTTTAGTTTTTTTAATCCCCCTAAGTCATGGGTCACGGGACGGTCTAATATCTCAGGGGTGTTCCAAAATCTTAAAACAAGCAACCAGACTTGAATAGTGCCAGGTTGAAAGTCGCACAGGTGTTTACTCTTGCCGGCACGTGCTAACAGCAGACAGCCTGAATCCACATGTCAGTGACCTGGCGTTGGCTGACCTTGCCTGCAGGAAACAGCCCTGTCAGCAGGCATGTCACAGAGATTAAGCGCCAGTTCCCTGACTCACGTCGGTGCAGCAGGCTCATGTTGCCAGCTGTACATGTTTGTAGCTCCCTAGGATCTACAGTTGGCTTACACAGACGCAAACATCTGGTGAAAACTCTAAAGTGGCTTACACAGACGCAAACATCTGGTGAAAACTCTAAAGTGGCTTACACAGACGCAAACATCTGGTGAAAACTCTAAAGTGGCTTACACCAGACGCAAACAATCTGGTGAAAAACTCTAAAGTGGCTTACACAGACGCAAACATCTGGTGAAAACTCTAAAGTGGCTTACACAGACGCAAACATCTGGTGAAAACTCTAAAGTGGCTTACACAGACGCAAACATCTGTGAAAAACTCTAAAAGTGGGCTTACACAGACGCAAACATCTGGTGAAAACTCTAAAGTGGCTTTACACAGACGCAAACATCTGGTGAAAAACTCTAAAGTGGCTTACACAGACGCCAAACATCTGGTGAAAACTCTAAAGTGGCTTACACAGACGCAAACATCTGGTGAAAACTCTAAAGTGGCTTACACAGACGCAAACATCTGGTGAAAACTCTAAAGTG